AATTTTAATCTATACTCTTAAAATATAAATTAAACAAACTTATTGATAAAAATTACAATTAAAAATTACAATCATACTAAATAAAACCTTAATAAATGAGGACAGTGTTTTGTTGGGATATTGGCAATGTGGTTTGGTTTAGTTTTTTAATTTTTTTAAACCATTCCAATTTAATTAATTAGTAAAATTTTTAAATAAATCCAATATATTATTATATGATAACCAAACTAATTTAACTTAAATTGAATTGGTGTTGCTTGGTTAGATTAATCTACTTTTTAACACTATTAAATATATAAAATAATGTAAATATATAAAATAATGTAAAAAATTTTAACATCAAGTATAAAACATGAGTATAAGACACATTAACATTTAAATCAGTGGAAACATAATTAAGAAAGACACAAATTATAAATAAATTTTTATACTCCTTTATAATTGTAAAGATTGAAAAGATTTGGAAATTCTTCTTATTCATCTCATTAGAGGCATCAAAGATAATAAAAGATGACTCCAAGTTTCAAGTGTGATGCAAGTAATTTTTAAATGTTAAAATTAGGCTTTTTTCACTAATGCACTAATGACTCAGTCTCATCTTTTAAACCCTGTTAAAAGCAAATAGAATTTAAAATGAATATCACTATAATTGATTAGAAATATTCATAATCAAGATTTAAAACTTCTAAACCAAATATCTAAGAATAGTAGAATATTAAAACTAATTCTATTATGAAGTTTTAAGACTTTTAGAATAATAATTTTTTAAGACTTAGTTAAGAGAATTAAAAAAATTATTTAAAAACAAATTAGAAATTTAGGGTTTTAAGAATAGAGTAGTAGACCAAGTCTAAAAAGTAGAGTGGGAAGCGAATTAAAAATTTAGAATTAGAGATTAGAGTACAAGATTAAAAAGAAAAAATAAATTAGGAAATATGGAGATGTTTTATTTTTATTTTTTTCTTAAGTTAATGAAGTTATTATCTTGTGAAACAAGAAAACAATTTTAAAATACTATAAAAATGTATATTATTTAATTAAATTATCTTGTAATCGAACTTTATCTTGCAATGAGGTGGTTTACACAGTTTAAAAGTAAAATCACAAATTAAATCAATTATATCAGTTTTAAAATTTTATAATTCAAATCAACTTAATTTTATATCAATTTGATTTGATTTGTAATTTGATTGAATCAATTTGGATCAAATCAATTGAATTGAATGGAATATGAACACCCATAAGGGCTTGTTGCAATTCAACGACCATATAGAATTTTGTGAACCCAAAAAAAAAAAAGTAAAGAAAAGCTCTGTTCCAAGTTACTAAATGAAAGGTGGAGCTTGCACTCAATTTCAAAGCTAAAAACCTATTTTTAACCCTTTACCTTAATAGATTTATAGGTTTTAACTTCTCATCTTCTACTATAACACTTTTAGCCATTTACCTTAATAAGTTTATAGGTTTTAACCCCTCACCTTATATTATGATATTTTTAACCCCTTACTTATACAAATTGAAGAAAATAGCCTGTTGACTCAATGTACTCCAAGAGGAGGGGTGAATTGGAGTTTTAAAAATTCTCCTCTTTTTGCAACCACAACACCCAAATTAAAGAGAGTAGAGAAGAAGAGCTTGCTCAATGATTCATAGAGGTTCGGTCCAACCACTTGGAGCCTAGTCCTCTACCTTGGCTTCACTCACCAAGGATTTCCTCCACACTCTCCACTAACAACAACAAGGGTGGCTTAAAGGAGCCACTCAATCCTTTTACAAAAATAAGGGTGTTTCTTTCAAATCTCACCCCTTTACAAGATAAACCCCAAAGATCCTCTCTACAGATCACTCTTGAAGGAATCAACACACCTCCAAGATCACTCACTAATAGCACAAGAAGAGGATTACAAACAAAGATCTCTCAAAAATTAAAATCTCTAGTTAAAGCACAAGTTGGTGGATAAAGCACAAGTTGGTGGATAAAGATATTCAATATAATGTTCTCTAAACTTCTTCAGATCTGTTACCAACCATATATATAACCCCCTGCTCGAATATAGCCATTTCTAGCCGTTGGGGGTCATTAAATGTTCTGCATGACGCATGGCTCGAGTTGCAGAACTGTCAGGAGAGCCTGCTCTGTAGAGCCGGCTTACACTTCCAGAGTCGGCTATCCGGGTTTGCAGGCCATTCTGTTTTCCTCGAGAGGCAGCTGCAAGACTTTGAGCCAGTTTTGGAATTCCGATTTTAAATACATTCAAAAGAGTCGACCGTTGTGCATTAAATGCACCCTCATAGCCGGCTATAAAGTTGGAGCCGGCTTTAAGTCTTTTCTTCGTGCGCGCCAAGCAACGGTCTTCAAATTTTTGCCCGTAGAACCGGCTGCAACTTCCAAAGCCGGCTCTCTGCACTTCCATTTCACCAGAGCCGGCTGCAGCTTTTAAGAGCCGGCTTACTGCACATTTTGAATCCTTTTGATCTATTTTTAGTCAATCCAAGTTTGCTTGCAATCTTTTAGCAACTTAACTACACACTTAAATAAACCAATTAGTCACTCAAATGTGTTTTGTAATCATCAAAATCATAGGTACAACATAGCCCTCACTTAGCATCA